AAACCTTTCACAATAAAGCTCAAGATCCTGTTGAGACTTTTCAAAATAAACTGAATCACGTGGAAGACGCAGAGTATTTACGGAAGAAAAGCAAAAAAGAGCCTCAGGTGCTAAAAAATAAACCTTAGACTCAAACGTTAGAACAGGCTTTTCCCGCAGCACGCTGTGTAATAAATGGCTCCAGGTTATATTTCAGATCTTCTTAGCCTGCACTTACCCACTTGATCTCTGCGCTCCTCCAGTCAGATGGTTTTATCAGTTCCACGCTCCCAGCTCAAATCTAGAGGTGACAGGGCTTTCTCCATTGCTGCCCCGAGACTCTGGAATAGTCTTCTCCCCTTCATAAAATCCTCTTCATCCTTGGAAGTCTTTAAATCGAATCTCAAGACCTACCTATTTTCCAAGGCTTTCGGATCTCTTTGATATCCTTTTTTATTCTGTCTATTTGGTCTCTTATCTTATTGGATGATGTTGTATGTGCATATATGTTATGTTCACATATGTGTGGTTGTGCGTGAATGTGTACAGTTTTGTATATGTATGTGCATATTTGCATGTACATTATATGCTATATACTCTTACATGTCTTACAATTCTTTTTTAAAATGTTTTCTTTCTACTTTCATTATATTCTCCCTTTGTTCAGCACTTTGGCCGACACTTGATGTCTTTTAAATGTGCTATATAAATAAAGATGACTTGACTTGAAGATGACTACTCACAAAGAAAACGGCAGCCGTTAAAACCTATGTGTATAAATGTGTGGTTTCATGCATCGGTTAAAATACTCGATTCCAGGTACACTACGCCCAGTAGTATATAAACAAGAACAAGTAAGCGGAAAATGGGATACAGTGGTTTAAATGGGAAACTCAACAAGGTTCACTTCAGACTGGAAAGTAGCGCAATGAATGAGCCATTGTGTGTTATGAAAAGAAATGAGTTTGGAACTTGAAAGCTACGCCTTCTTAAAGAATGGAATTAAAAAAAAATACTACAAATAACAACAATTTGGGGAAGATATGTCTAAAATTAAAAAATAAAATTGTATATATGTACACACACAACATTTCACGAACGTCACAGAGGCTGCAAGAAAATCAGGCTGCTTAATCGAGCACCGAGCAGTCGCTCATCTGTTATTCCTTGGCCCAGGCGAGAGGAGCAAACTTCGACATTTCAGTGGTGTTAAAATTAGCGACTTATTTATTCTCGCGGTGCTTATTCGAATATGAACGTTAGCCACGGCTTATTTCTGCTATTGTTTCAATGACAGTTATATTTAGTTTAGAATCTTGTTATACAGGCGTAGCTTAATGTGAAGCTAACGGCTAACTGTCCGTAGTGTTATCAATGCGTTACAGTAGTTTGAAGCTGTGTGATAGTCACATCCGCGTGCGAAAGAAGTAGCCATGTACTGCAGCTAATATGACCGCCTTCTCCGTGTGGGTATAAATGGGGTCAGCGAGTAAGTTTAGGCGTAGTTGTGAACGTTGACACTCCACGGTTTAGATTGCCACCTTTTTGTGTGCTACCTGTGCGTGCGCTGCTAGCCACGTAAACTGCTCCCGCTCGGTGTTGACGTAGCAGGACGTAGCATCTGTCCCTTGCCTGCCCCGCCAGGCTACACTTTCTGTGAATTTGTGGTGCCATCGCCAGCCTGTCCGCCCAGTAAAACCGAGACACACCGAGGACATGAACCGCTGTAAAACAAAATGCTATAGCTGGACCTGAACGTGCGGTTCGCTTGTTTCCTGGTCCTGCTGCATTGAGCGGATGATGAAGCGGATCATCTGGATGATATCAAGCTTAAACAGAAGAATCATGAAGCTGCTTTTTGCCCTCGCTTTGATCGCCTATATTGCCTGTAAGCGTACGATTTTTAAAAAATCTTTTATTCTTGTCGCCAAGTTGCCATCTCTACAGTTTATTTTCACTCATGACAAACTGTACTCGTGTGACAACAACCAACTGTTGGGTGGCCAAGCCCCCCAGTCCTCCAGAGTGCACCTTTCAAAGGGTAGACTGCCTACAAGTCGCCCCCTCTGGATGTTTTTGATTTCATATAATTGTTTCTAATTTAAAGGATATTTTAGGAATTAATCTGAAAAATTGACAAAGTAATGAGCAGGCTAATTAATACTGAGAATAAACATTTGTTGCAAGTGTTCAGAGATTGGACACAGTCAAAATGTGACAGTTCTAATAACGACACTAACTGCTATAGTAAGTTCATTGCTCAGTGATTTCAGATCCACTTGTGAAACTGTACAGCAGTAGTTGAAAAAACAATTGGATCAGTTTTCATTACTTGTTTGTCTTCAGCAGTTTTTGTGTTTATCATTGAAAGTCTAGCTGCCTCTCAATGTGGCACTGCTCTCTTTATTCGTATTGCATTCATGATGATGCCATTATTATGTGTTCTCTTTCTCTCTTTTAGCTGTTTGGGGAACATATACCAACATGAGGTATAGTAATTCATTTATCTTCTGCTTGAAATCATGTATAATCATATATCACATAATCATATAAAAGAGAGTTTTCACAGAACTCTGTGCATTCCTTTGGGAGAACTGAGTACACACCCCATGATTCAGTAGCTTGTAAAACCAGCTTTAACAGCAACAATTGAAGTAATGGCTTTCTGTGTGACTTTATCAGTCTCTCATATCAATGTGAAGGAATTGTGGTCCCACTCTTCTTTACGACATTGCTTCAGTTCATTCACGGCTGGGAGCATTTGTTTATGCAAAGCTCTCTTAAGGTTGCAATAAAGCATTTCACTCAGGTTTAGGTCTGGACTTTGACTGGGTGGTTGGAACACAACACCCCTTGCTCCACCCTAATGTCCAAGTTATTCTGCTGTCGATTTGGTGCTGTTCTAGGGTTCATGGACCAACTGCTTCATCCAGTTTCAGCAAGGCTTTATCTGTCAGGCAGATGGTCTCATATTTGACTTTAAAATACTTTGGCATACAGAGGAGTTCATGGTCGACTCAATAACTGCAAGGTGCACAGGTCCTGTGCTGCAAAACAAACCCTAATCATCAGCCCTCGACCAACATGTCTGATTGTTGGTATTACATGTTTGTGCTGATAGGCTGTGTTTGGTTTTCTCCAAATGTGGTGCTGTGCATTATGGGCAAACATCTCCACTTTCTTCTTGTTTGTCCAAAGGATGTTGATTTTTTTTTTTTTTTTAATGTCTCTGAGTATTAAATGGTCTGACCTCGGGGGGAATTTGCTGGTATGTTCACTCCCAGGAAGATCATAGCATTATGTTAACACACGCCTGACTCCTCCAGATCAATGTACGGCTTCTACTTACTCTCTTAATTCCTAGAAGTAAGGGTGTACTTTGTTTTGCAGAGGACTGCGCAGCATCCTGTGGATTTTCTTATCAATATGACTGTATGATTGATGATAGTCTGTTTAAAAAATACACGTTTTATTTCCTTTGTTTTGCTTCTAATTCTGACACAAACTGCTCTGACTGCTTGTAGGCCCAAAACTTTGGGGGGAAATATTGATACATTTATTTCTATTATTTCTATGTTGTAGAATAATAGGTAAAGTATTAGAACTGTAAAATAACACAATTCTAAATGGGGGGGAAAAGGAAATGCACCTGCCGTTTGTCTTCATAACAGGTTTGGAAGCTTGGATTCTCAGTCATCTGGCAGCTTTTGTAGATACAGCGTTACAAGTTTTTCCACCAGTCACTGCTGCCCAACTTAACTAACAAGTAAACCTGGTTTGAGGCCGAGAGGAGACACAAACTCTGCGTCTGGGGATCAAAAGCTGGTTTACTCATAGTGCTGGTCCCAAGCCTCCATAATGGGAATGGCAGCTGATTAACCCATGACCAATTTGCCCGTGTGCTGTGTGTGAATATAGTATTGTACCTAATGCGTCACTAATTTACTGGCCAGGACAACTCTGTCTGTCTCATAATGGTAATGTAGTAGTTGGTAATCTGAGAGGGTAACAATCTGCTTTTTCCTTTATTCGTGCATTTATGTAATTTCAGAGAGAAACTATACTGAGATACTGAACTGTTGTTCAGTCCTCATTAGCTCCAACATGACCCACTCAGCTGTCAGCATTATTTAAAGTGCTCAAAGAACCTGAGACAGAAACAGTAGCATTATTGCCATCTAAAATGGTTTTGGATGTGTCACTACAGTGTCACAAACATGTAAAACATAAGATGAATTATAACATACTGCTTTTCATTTTTAGTTTGATTATATTTGTACAAAAGTACAATAACTTTAAGCATTTACATTGAGACTTGAGGTAAAGTGAACAATAGTATCTGTAACCTGTTGCAGCAGGTGTAGAGCCATTAAAAGGTCAGTGTTTTATTATACATATACAAAATGAAATTTCCATTAATGAAAAGATAAAAAAAAAAACAACTTGTGTACTGTTAATTATAGTTATTAGAGCAAAAAACATCAGCCAAGTAAATTTGAAACTTGTTGTTCTCCCATATTCACACAGCCATAGGAGCCTTATGTTTTGTCTTAATAAAGCAGAACTGCTTTATTAATTGAAACCTTTGTTTTACACCATAGCTTATTACTGACTCTGAAAAAGTGCACAACAGTCACTGCAGTGATTGGCATTTTGTTTGTTAATGTCATCATTGCAATGTTTTAGATTAAATTAATAGCTGTTTAAGAGCAGTCAGTGGGGATTTTATACTGCATACACGGTTTAGCAAACAGCAAATGAATGAGAACGGAAAAGTATGATAAACATTCATAAAAGTTATGCTTGGTCTTAGTTAGAGCTGGGCGATATATCGAGTTTTTAAAACATATCGATATATTTTTATACGAGATATAAGATGTGACAATATCCTTTATATCGATATAGTCTATGTTACGTTATACTTATAGTTGTGGAGCCGCAAGTTTGCCTCTCTTTCGTCTACTTTTGTCTATACGCAACATTACTCCGCCTCGCCTCTATCCTTCACTGAACACAACTCCCCCTCCTCCCCCATCGCTTCACGTGCAGGCAGCGACAAGATGGACACGGCAAATCTCCGTTAACGAGTTACTGCGCATTGCCCCATGCGTGGGGCTGGACGGCGTCAACGTGTTAACGCGCTAACCATGCTAACGAGCTAACCGCGCTAGTCCCTACGGGCTGCATAGTCTAAAATCCTTTCATTCTCTCAAAAGTTGACAGCTCGCCTTATGTATGAATTCTGGTTGTGCTTGATGGCTGCGAACCGATTTTATGTGGTACACGGCG